CCTAGAAAGGTTTTATAGAATTTTAGAGACCGGAGATATTTCAAAGAAAACAATGAATGTGTGGCTTTTTGTACCATTCGCGTAAAAACAACTCTACAGATCGTCGCTAAAAGTGTATGAAAAATGGTCGACAAGGCAGTACTATAAATTAGATCCATTTATATGCCGAATTGCCGTACGGTTTATCCCCTCTTGTTCGAAATTTTGTACAACTAACTAAAGAGCTCACGTTCTAGAGTTGCGCAGTAGTCTAGTTAGTTTACTTAGATTGCGCGAACAATAGGATGCCTTGCCTTTTGATTTAATTTGGAATGGTCAAACGGAAGCAAGTCTTATGCTTGGCTTGGTTGCGTTTTCAAAGATACTAAATTGCCTATTAAATATAGTGTGGTTTGGGCGACTACACACGAGGGAAAAAAAATATGTCAATTATTCACTTTAAGCTCTTTATCAAAGACTAACTGCAAGAAAAGGCCACCTTCTGCGTTTCCCTTTTTGGTCAGGGGAATCAATGTTGAGGTGGACGGACGCTTATTGTAACTCACTTTGTACGACATCAGGGGCAAAGATGTGATTTAAAGTATAGCAACGATCTGAAACGATAACTGAACTGTAAAAGCATGTGTAACAATGCATTAATTATAATCATGGAATAGGGAAAATAGCCGACTAAATTTGCAGGGTAAAAATCGTTCTACGATTTTGAACTTCAGACACTTTTTTATTTTTTAGACACTTTTGTTAAATATTTTTTAATTTTTCGTTAGGGGTTTTATTTTATAAAGTTTGAATTTTTCTTGATCTTATAGATTTTGAACTTGTTAGTGACTTGATTATTGAAGGATTATTCTTATTTGAACTCGAAACCATCTAAAAGGGTTGCAGTATTGTTATATCTTAAGTTATGATACAGAAAACACGTTTCGCGTCAATTGCTGACCCTAGGTTTTTTTCTGGTCATGCAATTGAGCGAAAGTTTCGAACACTGTATTTTGACTCAGGGCATCATTTCCTGGTTCTTCAGATCTCGGTCACACAATGATGACGGAATTACATGCACGTGAATGAAATTTTGTAATTTATTTCCGTTAAATTCCGAGATCTGAGGACAGATCAAGATTTTAGACAAAAGTAGTCAGATCTGTGGTGTCGTTTCTTTTCTTTTGAACCAACGCTGTTTTGCTTATACGTGCCGGGAAACAATTAAGTTTCTTATGACCTCGGTATTTAGAGACTTCTATGAGGAACCTTAAATATTACTTTGCTTTCTTGTAATGTGGTATGTCCACTGGCCACTAGTAGGAAAAAAAATTATTTAAATTTAGATTTCAAGGGACTGTGAAAAATAATTATATTTTTTAGCAATTTGGGTTTTCAACTGCATATACGAAATTTTAGTTCACCTAGAAACAATAAAAGTACGTGCCTCACCAAAAAAAAGAAGCCATAGATATTAAATTCGTTGCTCATAAACAATAATACTGAAAAGTTGCCATTATTAGTAGTTCTTATTTTTTTAGACGATTAGAAGGAGAGATTGATTTGAGATTCTTTTTATTTTTGCAAAAGTTTAAAATCATCTCTTGGAAATTGGAAAATCGTCGACCAATTGCCAGGAAAATTCTTGGTTTTGAAAAACGGCTTGACCAACAAGATTATTTCGTTTAATTTATCAATATTAGCAACTAACTTCTAGCTGCACAACTTCATAAAACTGAAAGAAGAAATTTTTGCTTTGTGTAAGGGATTTGTAGCTGGTTTTAGTAGAAAACCCTTACGCAGTCGACCCCGCCCGACTTTGTACCAACTCGCTTCGAATATCTCTGAACTACAAAAGGATGTTTGTCTGTTCTATGTGACAAATTAGTAGATGGACTGATACTCATGTGAAAGAGCATTGGTTACTTGGGTCCCTGCCACCCTTTTTACCCTTAATTAGTTCTAAGCCCTTCCAAATTCTACCGATGCTTGGCGCTTAGATGCGATCTTGCCAAGGATTGAACGTGATTTTTTTTTGGCAGTTGGTAACACGACAATTGACCTAAAGTACGAAGTATTAACGATAACTAATTATAATTTGTGATAGGGTTAGTCAAGAGTCCTTTGAACAGACTTTCTTACTGTAAAATTCTTGTTTGAAATGGGGTGACAAATCATTCTACGATGTAAATCTACACAATTGAATTACAAACGCAAACAACCCAAAATGAAAAGGTGATTGGTTTTGTTTGCGCAGTAGTTAAAGACCCTACATATAGGGTCCCTTCTAGAAAACTAACCAGTTTATTAAAAATACATAATTACTAAAAAAACAATAAAATATAAAAGCCCAGCTTATAATAATAATAAGAAAAAAAAATCAAGTTTTAATTACGAAGTAAAGGTGCATCAGACGGTATCTGATAAGCAATTCCATTGCTGTATGGTGGTGGGATTGTTGGAATATAATTAACTGGAGGAGGTAATGAAATTCCAAAAGGTCTGCTCTTTGTATCACCAAATGGTATTTGATGAGGGACTGAAGGAACTGATTGAACAATAGGAACCATGGAATGGGCAATTTGTTCTTCTTGATTGTTGTTTCCAACCTTGGAGCTTGCCTTCAAGCTTTCGCTCAAAAGATACTTTTTTATACTTATCCTTCTTCCATTTTTACCTTTATACACTTTGTTGTTCAATACCTCTTCAGCAGCCAAGGCAGCACCTTTCTTCTTAACCAATTTTGTGTGGTATAATCCACAGGCATTACAAAGTGTTCTTACACCCTTTGGACCTCTTCTCCATTCTGGTGTTTCTGTAGTACCACATCTATGGCACCTATTAATTGGCTTTGAAGGTTTCACTTGTTGTATATGATTAGTAGGGGCTTGACCTTGTACGTAAAAAATTGGTTGCCCATAGTAGGTTGACTCTATAAACTGAGGCTGTGGGTGTGGTACGCCTCCTGGTAGTTGAGGAGCTACTGGATGTTGGTTCACGATGTTAGGAGCTTGGGAAGGAAATTGATAGTACTGATATTGTGTATGTGGACTACCTGTATATGTCGCTGTTGGTTGATATTGTTTAGAATTGTCTAATTGAGGTGCTTGCAAAGCTCTGTTGGGTTGGAATGAAGGTGGTATTAAGTGACTCTTAATAGGTTGGACTTGATTTTCCACTGGTGGAAGTGATGGTGAATGATTGTGGGTAATGTTGGTTGAGCGAGTTGTTTGGGAGGTGTAATTAGGAGATCCGGCTAATGTTTGTCTGTATGTTGTCAAGGTTGCACTAATTCCAGGAAGGGATTGTACCTCTTTGGTTGGATTGAATGGGATTTGATTTATNTAATTCCAGGAAGGGATTGTACCTCTTTGGTTGGATTGAATGGGATTTGATTTATTGAATCTGACAACGAACCTTCTGTCAATTCTCTTATTGATGGTAACCTGATAGCAGTTGGGTTAGCTTGTGTTGCAGTCATGCTTCCTCTCTGTTATTGTTGTAGTAATAGGCTTGTTCGGGTTAGCGATTATAAAAACTATTGTCGTGAAAATTAAATGAAATAATTGTTTGATAGGTTTTTCGAAAAGTTTTGAAATAAAGTTTTGGAAGAGCAATGGTGGTTTTATATAAACCCGTAGATAAGAGTAGAATAAATTAGGCGAGAAGATTTGTACAGTGAAACTTTAAGTTTATTTTACAAGCTTACATGCATATGCAGGTTGCATAAATTATTTTTTCGATTGGAATAAATATTTTTTATGCGAAAGATCACTTGAAACAATCCTGAATTTCTTTTTTATTTTTTAAAGCAGACACTTTTTTCACAAAATTCGGTTATTCATTCACAAAAGTCAGATCTCGTAAAACGCTTTAGAAACTTCCGAAATGCATGGAATCTCCAACTAGAACATCAAGATACGACAGTAAATCCATGTATTAGAACGAATATATTGGCTACAAAAGCTATGCAGATCTTTTACATTTATATGTGAAACAAATCTTCTCAAATAGCTCATATGAAGATTGTGTTAGAGATTTCGAACCCCCAAGATTTTTATGCACTCGCATTTTATTTCTTGTCATGGAATCATGAAGTTTTCCAATAATTATTAAGAGGTCACTGACTGAGGATTTTCAAAGTGCGTTCTACATTCAACGAATGACCATTAATGTAGTATGAAAGTGAACGCAAGGAAAGGTCTGATCCGGGTGATTGCCTCATCTCTCAATCCTCGCCAGGTTGCAAAAAAAAACCAATTATTTTCAAGGATTTATTTTTTCTGATTGTGTATTATTTTATCGATGTAATCAAACGATTTATTTCCGCAGAACCCAGAGAAAATGACATTGGTTTTTTCGGGGAGAGGAAACCGAAATCAAACTAGGGTAGTGCGACATATGTGGTGGTATATGGTGATTCGGGATTACTTCCGGCTTCCACTTTTTAAACACATCTGGAATGAAAGAGTACCCCAGGTTGCAATTATATGGAGATTGCTGTATGGGACGGAGTCACCAAAGAATGCAATTAAAAGCTTGTTTGGCTTTTGTGCTAATATTTTATTCGCCTTTCTGAGTCGACTGATGCAAGAACTCAAGATGAAAAATCATGTTTCTTTTTTAGTAGATTCCTGTCATATGCAAAAAACATGGTTAGGTCACCCTTCAAAATGGAACCCTATGAACAGATAGACGTCCATGCCATTTAATTTAGAACACATAAGATTAGAGATCTGTTCATTTGACATTTTCTTCACCCTTCATTTGTTTCATCTTGGTTCGGAGTGAATTTCTTTTTTGCCGAGATTAACGGTTTCTTGAATGTAATTTAAATCTGAAGGCTCATGTTTATAGACGGAAGATTTGATCTACCATGAGTTGCAATGTTTAGTCTATTTTTCGGCTAAAATATCACTAATTCTTGTATTTTTTGTTTCCTTCCTTTTGAATTCAATTAGATATTAACTGTTCATATATGGGATATAAATAGATGAAGCTGGTATGGGATTCTTTTGGAACTAATTACAAACTTATGATTTTCATTGACGGTGTAGTTGACACGTAAACTCCTGAATGACTTCTAAAAATTATTTTCTGTTTGAAAATTAATAGCAATTATTTTTTAAAACTAAATTTGATTTAATTGCATATGAACAACGAGGGGTGGTCACCAAATCTTGCCCTATACCTGTTTAAATGTAATGCACAGTTAGTTCGGGGGATTACGAAATACCACACCATGGCTAAGAAAAAATTGTCTTCGGGGAAACATGATTGCTCCCTTCAAATTTTCTTGTCATGTGTACTGTTTTTCACCAGACACCTCAGGCGATGATGCTCCCATCTGAGATCTTCGCTTGTTATAGTTTTCTATTTAGGTTTTGTATCAGATCATTATGTCAAGATGGAAATCTGGTGACACACATTCTTTGATCGTACGGGATTGTCGTCTTGTGTTTCCAAATTTGTTTAATGAATGTTTTACTTGAGCTACAAATCTTAGTCGCCATAACTACATCCCTTTTAAAGAATGTCCTAACCTAGGGAAAATCGAATGAACCCTTGACGAATGGACTTGATAACAATACTATTGACGAGCATCGCTAGATATCAAGGCATGCAGAAATAAGCCACGAATCGAAGCTTCCAGAATAAAGATTTCGGTTACTTTTTGGTGTCCCACCATTTTTTTCTTGGATTTGCGGAATCGCACCACATCAACGTGAATGATTCTGATGCCATTTTTTTTTGAATTGTTCTAATGTTTTTTTTTTTTTTTACATATACAATCTGTTTATTGAGTTCATATACATACTAACATACAGAAATATAACAAACAGAAAAACAATATACATTAAAGGCAAAAAGCATCATTGCCTAAAACCTTATTTCAGCAGCATCCTATAGATTAAGTGTGTAGGAGTAGTTGTTAAGACTCTTCGATGTGTACGATACCCATTTGCGAATGAATTGGACCGTGAGCTCAACGTTCCGGCCCCCTCCACGTCGAAATTTTTGAAACTTATAAAGGAGGGCGAGGTATCGATTTAGCTGCATTAATTGAAATGGTTGAAGGGAGGAATTGCAAATAAAGAGGCGTAGCCTCCTTGGTAGTGAGCGTGGACGGCAGAGTTGCCAAAGAATCTTAGTGACCCGACACTTTGTGTAGACATGATGGGTGTAATAGCGACCCCAGACATAACGACCACAGAATTCACATTCACGGTCAGAATGATGCGTAAAATGACCCAAATTGAGTCGGTGAACAGCGTCCATACCATCTGGGTAGCAACGTTTGCCATGAGCCAAGATCTTAAAAAATTTTACCCAATCAGCGGGATCCAAATCATAAAGATTAGACCAACCCTCCGGGATAACACATGGCTTTGCTTCAATATTAAATTTCTTTGAACGACTATTGAAAAAGTCCCCCGGTAAATCTGCGAATAGTGGTGGGAGAATAGTAGAAGGGGGTGACCCGAAGAAGTCCCTATATTCATCATGTGAAAAATGACTCGGCTGTGCCGTATATGTTTTGCGAAGTGAACCAATTAAATCAAACCATGCTTCCAAATACACCTTCTCGGTGTTCGTAAAAATATCACTTTGATCAACCATAGTAGAAATATCCCTACCCTGATAATTTAGAGTCAACCCAGTGAGGAACTTGTACCAAGGGATTGCTAGAATAGAGTCTGTAGAAGCTTGATAGGAGTCAGCCAGCTTATTCACAAATTCCTGGAGCTTATACCTAAAGATGTTAAAATTCCAATCAGTAACATTGGTAAGGGTATGCCAAACATATTGAGCACGGCGACCCGAAAGCTGCTTGCCCAAATTAAGGAGGCCAAAACCCCCTTGCACATTTAGTGATGTTACAATATCCTCTCCAATGCCTTTGAAAAACAGCAGTTTGATTTTAGAAGTTAAGTATTTGACATCCGACTTAGTCATCGCCTGATGAAGATCTCTAAAATATAATTTTGAAAAAATATAGGTATTAAAACCGG